GGCGCGGGGGTGAACCGGTGCTGGGTGTGTGAGTGAGGCAGGTATGTCACCCGTGTCCCGGGTGGGGATGTCCCCGAACCCTTTGGCGGAGGGTTTGTGCCCCGAGCCCTCTCCCCGCAGGGTGTCCTCTGCCCTGTGCAAGGTCAGGGCAGTGCAGCCTCCTCCGTGCACCTAGTGGTGCCCGGCATCGCGGTGACACCGGGTTTAATGCCGCCTCCCTGCCTGGGGATGGCCCCGCTGCCCAGCGGTGGGGCTGCGGCACGTCCCCATCCCGATGAAGCAGAGACAATCGGTGGCGGGCGTCTCCGGGGCCACGGAGGGCCGGTGGCCGATGTGCCGGGATGGGAGCTCTGCCCTCGCCGACCCTGTTAGCGTGCGATGGAGCAGGGACTGGATGGGTCTCCCCCCGTCCTGCAAATCCCGCTGGATTCAGGGCAGGGCTCTCACACCCGGCTGGGTGCTGGGGCAGGTGCCAGGTGGTGACAGCTCAGGATGGGACGAGCACTCCAACCCTGTTAGCGTGCGATGGAGCAGGGACCGGATGGGTCTCCCCCGGTCCTGCAAATCCCGCTGGATTCGGGGCAGGGCTCCCACACCTGGCTGGGTGCTGGGGCAGGTGCCAGGGGGTGACAGCTCAGGATGGGACGAGCACTCCATTTTGGGGTGGAGGAGCTCCCTGTTGAGCGGGTGGGCTGTGGTCCCACCGCGGCATGTCCCTGCACCATGTCCCCTTGCAGGTGGCATCAGGACGAAGCTGGGGCTGAGGTCCTGCGGAATGCGTCCGGGCTTGGGCAGCTGGGATGGGGCTGTGGGGCTGGTGTCCATGCGGTGATGGCCCCAAACGGCGCGTGCCGAGGCGCTCGGCGGTGCCGTGGTCCCGCCCGTGCTGCACCAGCATCCTCTGGCTCAGTGCGTGTTGGGGACAGGGTGCTGCCCCGAGGGTCATCGGTTGCTCCTCCGCTCCCCGCCGAGCCCGCGTCCATCTGCCCTGCCGGCCGGCAGTGCCAGGGACACGGGGCTGGCTGTGCTGGCTGGCAGCGCGCTGCTGGGGGACGTGGGGAGGGGGCATGGGGGCTGTTTCTGAGTGGCAGCCGTCAGTTTGAATAGATGTCACGTTCCAGCTTTAATTACAGTAATTGGCTGGGGGAGGGGTGTGCTGGCGCCTGCACTGGCTCCGAGGGGGAGCGTGAGTGGCTCGGCTGTTTGGATGCTCCACGCGCGGGGGAGTCCCTGTCCCTACCTTGCCATTTGTCCCTGGCCCAGAGGCATGTCCCCCCTTGCCTGCAGGGACACGGCCCATGCGAGGTGCGCACACACACGTGGGTGCATGCCTCTCTCCAACCCCAAATAATTTGGTGGTTGCAGCAGCCGGCTGGGAGGTGAAAGCCACGCTCAGCCTCAGGCAGAGTCCGGCCCCGGCAGGGATGCTCCGGAGCCCCGCAGATTAAAGGGAGCCCTTGACCACAAGGTTCCGGCCCCGGGGTGGGCACGCTGGTATGTGAGCAATGCGGGCGCTCCAGCAGGACAGACGGACAGACAGAGCATCACAGCGCAGCCGGGCGCCTGGGTGGCTCCTCTGGCGCAGGTCAGGCAGGCAGGACCCCGGCTCGTCCCCGCGGGTCAGGGTCTGCAGCAAGACCCGAGTCCCCGAGTGCCTGGGCTCTGCCCTGCCAGCTCCTGCCGCGCTGGGCACCGGCATCCCCAGCCCAGGTGCCGTTGGCATCCTCGTGGCACCACAGTGCATGGACCACCCGGCTCATCCCACTGCATTAGGGCGCGATGCCCGGGGACGTCCCGGCATGGACAGTGACGGCTCTAGAGCCTGTCGCACCGAACAATTAGCACAAGTGATTGGATCGTATCGGTAACCCCAGTGAAAAACTTAGACAAACTTAGAAAAACCGAGATTATCTCAGGCCCTGTTATCTTTTCCAGAGGCCCAGGATTAAGCCGGGGTGGGGGAACAGTGCAATGTCCATCTGTCCGTCCTTGCGGTCTGTCTGGCCTCGTGCTGCACCTGCGCGGATGCTGGAGGGACTTTGGAGGGAGTGGGGAGGGGATGTGTGCAGGGGGGCTCGTGGATTAAAGGAGGAGAGGTTGGGCAGAACCCAAAGCATCAGCATCAGTGTTGGCATCGGCGTCGGCATTGGTATCGGCACAGCCTGGGCAGCGGGTACAGCCGGTTATGCCAAAGTGCTGCCAGCACCACGTGGCCCTGCCGGCCCCGCTGCCCTGCCTGTGCCTGGCACCCTGGTCCCCACTGGGGCAGTGGCGGCACTGGGACACCTCGGGGCCGCCTCTGCCCCACGCAGCCCTGACCCACCAAGCCTGGCCAGCAGTGCAGGCAGCGCCGGCAGCACAGGCAGCGGGACGTCGGCAGGGCTGGGACCGAGAGCTGCCGTGTGAACGCTGGCTCGGTGGCGGAGCACAAGGTGGGGTGGGTTTTGGGGTCTGCCCCCCCCTTGCCCCGGGCAGCGCTGTCTCTCCTCCGTGGGGAGCCGGCAGCCGCTCCAACCGGTTTGTGGGTCTGGGCGGTGACACCTCTCGCCCGAGGCCTGATGGAGGGTTGGGAAGAGCTGGTGCGGACGCCAAGGAACAAACAAGAGCCGCTTGTGTCCTGCCGGGCACGGAGCCCAGCAGCGGGGCAGGGACGGCATACTGCTCCCCTGGCACAGGGCTGCGGTGAGCCGGAGGCTGCTGGAGCAGCCACCCCACGAGCTGGGGAGAAACTGAGGCACGAAAGCAAGGAGGGACCCCATCCGGGTGATGGAACAGGAGGCGCTGACAGCAGCGGCAGAGACATCCCGATGCCCAGACACCAGCTCTTCCCCTTCAGCAGCCCAGGCTGAGCCCCGGTGGCTGCCCTTGGCGTCTCCTGCCTGCCCACGGGCAGCGGTGGGATGCACTCCCGCGCCTGGGTGGCCTGATCTCTGTCCCCTGCGTCCTCCTCCGTGGGAGCAGTCGGGATATTAAGTGTCGTCGCTGCGGGGAGAAATGCAAGTGGAGGAATCCTGGGAAACTGGTTTTACCCCTCCGTCCGGTGCCGGCGGCAGGACGGCGGCGGCCGGCGCTCCTCCCTCAGCAAAGGCATATAATGCCTGCCATGGTCCCGGCAGCCGGCACTGCACTGCGGGAGGCTGGCAGGGGTGCAGGCAGTGAGCGATGGCCTCCATGGGGCTGCAGGTGCTGGGCATTGCCCTCTCTGTCATCGGCTGGTTGGCCTCCATCCTCTGCTGCGCGTTGCCCATGTGGCGGGAGACGGCCTTCGTCGGCAACAACATCGTGGTGGCCCAGATCATCTGGGAAGGGCTGTGGATGAACTGCGTGGTGCAGAGCACGGGGCAGATGCAGTGCAAGGTCTACGACTCCCTGCTGGCCCTGCCGCAGGACCTGCAAGCCGCCCGCGCCATGGTGGTGGTGGCCATCGTCTTGGCCATCCTGGGCACCCTGCTCGCCGTCGCCGGCGGCAAGTGCACCAACTGCATGGAGGACGACACCGCCAAAGCCAAGGGCACTATCCTCCCCGGCGGCATA